CATATGGAAGCACCGGGAGGAGACACTGCTGCATTTACAACGCAAAGGGAAAGAGAAAAAAAGGTAGGAGAGGTGCAGTGGATCTTCAGCCTCCTCACACACACACACACACACACACACACAAACGATGAGAGGGAACAGACAACAACAGTAGATGAGGACGCAGCAGAGTGGAAAACTGACGTGCTCACAACGATACAAGGTGCCAAGTACATTCTTATATACATATATATATCACAAGAAAAAGGAATATATATATAGGAACGTGAACCAATGGATTGCAGTGTGAAGAAACGAGGAAAAACTGGGAGGAACCACCCCGACCAGAGACGCTTGTCCGTCGCCGCTTCTTTCATTCCTTCTTTTCTTTCTTCTTCTGTTGACGGCGCCTCCGATTTCTCTCTCACACACATACATCCGTCGTCCACCTGTTCTTTTGCAATGTACGGCAGCCTTGCCGTGATTCCTCGCATCCAAACCCTTCTGTGCCTTTCGCACCTGAAGAGGCATCTCTACATCGATAAACATTTATGTATAGTTAAAGGAAAAAAGAATAAAGGAGGAAAGGGAAACGGTGAGTGTGCTGCCGCTGCTGATGCCGCTACTGCAGCAGTCGCTTACCTCTACCACATAGTTTCGCTACTGCAATGCCGTACCCTCCTTTCTCTCCGCTTCTCCTTCTCTCGCTACATCGCTCTGTTAGAATCTATGCTTTGAGAATTAAGTGTCCTTCTGCTGTTTTGCTCGTTTCTCGTTTGGAGGGAGGGAGGAAATCAGCGAGTGAGGTCTCGCTCAACGCCGCCGATGTGTGTGTGTGTGTTGAGTGCAGGTGCGCTGCACGTAGGAAAGGTCGAGCTAAAGAAATGCGCTCTCGACTAGCCTCTTCCTTGTTCTTCCCCTGTAGTCCTCGTTCCTCTCCTCCGCCTCCGCCTGCTCCTCCTCCTTGCGTCAGCCGTTCTGCATCTACGCGCGTCGTGGCAGCGGGGCTCCTCACGACACTCCCATGGTCAACTCCGCTGCCGGTGTCATCGCATACACAACTACAAATTCTTTTTTTAAGGAATCTTCACATTGCTTTCCCCCCTTTTTTTAAGGTAAAACAAATTCATTCACACGAATCGTGGCAGACTATTTTGGGTGTGTGTGTGTGTGTGTGTGTGAAAGAGAGTTGCTTGTTACATCTTTCGAATGGCGTTGTTGATCTGCGCGGTGTTTGGTGAGTTGTGGCTACTGCCCTGCGTCAGCATCGCCGGATTCCAATCCACACAGAACCACGGGTGGGCGATGACGCCGTCTAACGAAATGCGCTCCTGCGGATCTACAGTCAGCATCTTCGAAATCAAATCGCGTGCCTCCGCGCTGAAGTGGCGCGCCATGCGAAACTCGCCGCGCTCGATCTTGGTGAAGAGCGCGTTCACGTTTTCATCGTCAAAGGGCAGGTAGCCGGCCATCATCACAAAGAGCACGACGCCGCAGCTCCAGATATCGGCCTTGAGGCCATCGTAGCCCTGCTCCTTCAGCACCTCCGGCGCGACGTAGTTTGGCGTGCCGCACACCGTCTGCAGCATCGTGCCGCCGCCGTTTGCGTTTGTCCGCTGCAGGTTGCTGAGCCCGAAGTCGGATATCTTCAGCGTGTCGCTCGCGTCTAGCAGCAGGTTTTCCGGCTTCAAATCACGATGGGCGATGCCTTGGCGATGACAGTAGTTAATCCCGCTAATCAGCTGATGGAAGTAGTGCCGTGCCGTCGGCTCGTCGAAGCGCTTCGCGCTGGCGATCTTCTCGAACAGCTCTCCGCCCGTCACGAGTTCAAGGACGAGGTAGATGTGGTGGCTCGTCTGCATCACCTCATGCAGCTCGATTATATTCGGTTGGCGCAGCATCTTCATGACGGCAATCTCACGCTTTAGCTGCTCCTCCATGCGTTCTCGCACCAGCTGCTCCTTGTCGATGACTTTGATGGCCCATTCCTTGCCCGTTTCGGTGTCGCGGGCGATCTTTACCTTGGAGAAGTTACCTGTGCCGAGGGTGCGGCCTAACTCGTACTTGCCAAGACGCTTGGGGGCCCCCATGATTGCGGTGCGACGATGGAGAAAGGGGGAAAGACAGGAGGGACGAACGTATTCTTCTTTTACTTTCTTCTTTGCTTCTTTCTCTATTTCTCGAGAGAGAGAGAGAGAGAAGAGAGGAGAGGAGAAGGTGTTGCGTGCAGCCGGCTCTGTTGGATGAAATCCGGGGAGGAGAGCAAAAATATTTGAAGAAGGTAAAGTGTAGCTGGTCGCGGTGCGGTCGTGGGAAGAGGCGGCAACGCTTTCACTCGGTGCAAAGGGGCGGCAACGTCTCCACGCCAATGAGCACACACCCGTAATTTAAAAAAGAAAAGAACCGTACACGAGCACGTTGAAGTCAATTTGGGAAAAAAGGGAATGTTTTGTTTTGTATTGTTTTAACGGTAAAAATCATATATTTACGTCTTCTACTTTTTCTTTTACTGTTGTTATATATTGGTCTTCTGTGGGGTTTGGAGTCTACGGCTGACAGCTGTTTCAGGAGAGAAGTTCGCGGAGCGAAAAGTTGGAAAGAGAGGGAGGGAGCGTGTGTGTGGTCAGGAGGAGAGGGAAGGCAGCGGGAGAGAGAACAGAGTGAGGGATCTTTAGCAGCTTTCTGTTTGTTTGTTTGTTTTTCGGTTACTATGGATGGAGTTTGGTAGGTGATCGGCTCCGCCCTGCACGCCGCATAAAGAGCACTGGGGCGGCGGCCTTTTGTTTTTGATTTCTTCGTTCACCTCTTCTTCCGCTTCGTCTTCCGCAGTCGAAGGACTCAAAACGCCAACGGCGGAAGTCGTCGGCGGCAAATACAGAAAGGAAAGAAGCAGCGCGGTAACGTCGTGAAAACTTCTGCGCAAGAGAGGAGAACCGAGAGGAAGACACAATTCTTTTTTTTCCTTCTTAACAAGACAAATAAATATATATATAAATGTATGTGATAAGAAGGACGCAAGAGAAGACCAAGGTCCGCTTTTTCTCTTCCATTATCGTCACAACAGAGCGCGTTTGGGTGACAATTGGAAATGTTAATAGATACTACTAACAATAATAATTGCGGTGTCTGTGTTGAAGATTAATATACTCGTTTTGTTTGTTTAGGATTTGCTATAGAAAGAAGAACCGGCGGAGAGAGAGAGAAAAAGAAAGAAGGAGCGTTTGGGCAGAGACACGAAAAGCCAAGAAAAAGAAAAATGAAGACGATGGTGCGAAGAGCCGAGGAGGAGACCGGTCCATTCATACCGCAGGGGAACGGCGGGGTTGGTCAACGTACGCAGACGGAGTTCAAGAGGGGGAGGGGGGGGAAGGGAAAGAAGAACAAAAGGAAAGGGAGGAGAACTCCACCGTGGAAACGCTGCAAAAGGGACCTCCTCTTGACACAATTGTTTTCTTTTAGTTTCCCCCAAACACTCCGGTATTTTTGCTGTTATTTATTTCTTCATTTATTTCTTTCGCAGTGGACGCGGCCGACCCCCTGCGTGAAGTACCGCCAACGCGGGCGACTTTCATTGCTCTACGGAAGAAAACCCCACCACAGAGAGAAATTGCTTAGAAACCGGTGAAAGGAGGGTTTGGCCGAGGCAGCACGAAAATGAATGTATACTTTGGTTCTGTTTTTCCTTTAAGAAAACCCAAAAAAGCGTCACCTGTTGTGGCGTTGCTGCGCAGTGGGGAGCGCTCGCATGTGCGTGGGGGGAGGGGGGGGGACGACGAACCGCACACGCGCCACGGCAGCGTCGAGCCACAGCAAAAAGGACCCGGAAACAACAATTGCACGTCGTGGGCGTCCACCACAGCAGTCACGCAGCAGCAATCAAAGACAAAAAAAAAAAGAAAAGGAAAAGAGAAGCAAAGAGAGCGGGCAAACGCAGTGAGAAAGGCGGCGGAAATATAAGATGTACGTGTGGGAGATAAAGAAGGCAACGGAGGGAAATCGACTCTCAACAGAAAGAAAGAAGACGAAGAAAGGGGAAAGGGGAAAAGGAAAAAAAAAGAAAAAAAATCCGTTTCGCACGTCGCACAGCACGGCGTAGAGAAGTCCTATGAAATGGAAAAAGGTAAAAGAGAAGAGAGAGAATAACACACACACACACAGAGACACAGAGAGATAGTGTGTGAGAGAGAGAGAGAGAAGGTGCAGCTGCCAGCGGGGGCTTTTGCTTGTACGCTGCCATGAGAGCGTCGCTGGGCAGCGCACCTGCACGAAACACATTCGCACACAACAACAACAACAACAATTATAATTACCCGCGACAGAAACCGAAAGAGCGAGAGAAAAAACAATCTAACCAACAAACAAACAAAAATTCCTTTTCAAAGCAACGCAGTACCCGCAGGCTGCTGCGACAAACCCAATAAGAAGACGGCTCACGCTGACACAGCGAGGACACAAGGCACACACAACAACAAACATTTATATATATCCAGAGAACACAGAAAAGGTAAAGGTACAAAACCGGTGAAGAAGGAAAAAGTAAAAAAAGAAAATATGCGAAGTTCAGAGAAATGAGAAAATAGAGACAGATGCAATTCATGTACCTGCTTCACGTTTAGAGAGAGGCACCTCGAGTGATGACCCAGGGAGAGAGGGAGCAGAGAAGGAGAAGTAAGAAAACGCTTGTCTCATTAGGCTTTGTCGGGGTGCCCACGGTAATGATAACTATTTTCCCCTCCTCTCTCTCTCTCTCTTTTAATGGTTGCCCGTAGCAGCTACGAAAAGAACCATTATTAAGCAGCACTTAGATCTGGCAACACAACAATGAAAACAGAACTAAAGTAGTACTAAGCAAGAAAATAAGAAAAGAAAGGAAAAACTACTATAGATGCTCTCGCCTGACTTGTCTGATCTCCCCTCTCGTACTCTCCCCACCCTCGAGCTTAACGACCAAGTGCGCATGGTGGATGTTCGCCGGGTGTGGAAAACGAAAAGTCGAAGAAGATGCGGAAGAGGAGGGAACGGAGGGGAAAAGAAATCACACAAAGACTCTAGCAGCAGCAGCAGCAGCAGCGGCAGCGGCAGCGGCAGTCTACGCAGCGCACAAGACGGTGCGACACAGAGCACGAGAGGAAGAGAAATGGGGCAATGTATAAACTCAAACAGGGTGTGGGTACGAAGGACGGAGTTCACGAGGAGAGGGAAAAAAAAGCCGACAGCGGTCTCAGCCTTAGGTCCGCCTGGACACCCACACACTCAAACACACGCACACCTCCTCCTCCTCCTCCTCTTCCTCCTCTCTCTCTCTCACATCACCGCACAGCACTTTGCGTTATCCTTCGTGCTGGCCGCCGGCGGTGGTGTCGGTTGGGCCGGGGCAGTGGCGCCGCTTTTCTCAAACGCACGCCGCTTCTTCGGCTCACTCACGCCCTTCTGTGATGGTGCGGCCGCAGAGGCGGATGATGCCGGAGCGTTTGCGGGCTGCACCGCCTTACCTGCCGGCTCCGCTGCTGCGTCCTCCGTCGTCGTCGCCGTCGTCACTCCGCCCTGCGTCGGAGCCGCGTTGAGACTGTTTGTGGTGGTCGTCACGGCGGCGCTGCCTTCGCGTTGGTGCGCCGTGGCCTCCGCCGCGGTGGTGCGGGATGGGCTGACAGTGGTGGCGACGGCGTCGGCCGCGTCCGCCTCGCGCGCCGGCGACGCGCCGTGGCTGTTGTAGGTGGCTCTTTGATCGGCACTGGCGGCGGGAGAGGGATCGACGCGGACGTCCTCGCCCTCCTTGGCGGGGTGCAGCTCCCGCTGGTGGCGGTGACCACTGCGGGTGAGTACCTGCCCCTGCGGTGTGGCGGAATCGGTCATGGAGGACACCGTCACCTCCGACAGAACCGAGCCGCCCGTCACGGGCGTGTCGGCAGCGCCGTCGTTGTCGTCGTCGGCCTGTCCGCCATGCGCCACCTTGTAGGAGGCGGAGCGGTGCTGCCGGTCGCGCTTCGCCGTGATCTCGCCCAGTTCCAGCCGAGGGACGACCGGCTGATCAGGGGCGCGTCGGGCGTTGTGCTGCGCTTCGCGGTTGGCGCGCTCCTTCAGCACGCTGATCGGGGTGTCGTCCATCGACTCCTCGCCGAACGACTTCCGGCCAACGGCGACATCGTAGTCCGCGCCGGAGCGACGGCCCTCGGTGATGCGATGAACCGCCGTCCCGTTGCTGCTCGCCACGCTCGGCCCGCGCGTCGCGACGGCCGATCCACCAGCGGAGTTGCGCCGCTGCGGCTGCTGCAACCGCTGCTGCTGCTTCTGCTGATAGTCAACGCTGCTGGAGTGGCGGTGCACGGTGTTGCTGGTGAGCGTCGTCGCCGGGACCGCGGCCGCGGCGCCGAGGCTGCCGCCGCGCTGCCCACCAACCGTGTGAGGCGAGGCGTCATCACGAGGCGTCAGCGGGGGGCGACCGCCTTTATCGGGCCCCAGACCGTTTTTCCGCTGCGCCGCGGCAGCACCGCCGCCGTAGCCGTCGAAGCTGACCGGTTGCACCGTGCGGGGCACCGGCTCGTCCTGCGCGTCCCTCGCGCTCCTGGTGAGTTCGCCATCCGCGACGCTGAGGGAGGCGCTGCCGCTGCCGCTGCCGCTGCCGCTGCCGTGGCGGGCGTGGTGCAGCGACTTCCGTCCGGAGCGCGCGCCGGAGGTGATGGGGCTGAGCGACACCGACACGCCCGATTTTGTCAACTCCACCGTGTCGTCGTCGGAGACCGTGACGGTGGTCGCACTCGCCGAGGCCGCCCCGCTCGCGGAGAGACTCCGTCGCTGCACCGGCTGGATGTGCGGGGAGCTGTTTTCCGTCGTGGTCACCGAGGACTTGCGCGATGCCGAGACCCGCGCGCCGCCCCGCACGACCACCACCGGGTTGCCCTGCAGTCGCGTCTCCGCCGTGCGGGCGGCAATGCGTTGCGCCCGCTCCGACATGACCGTCGTCGCCGGCAACGGCACCGGCCGCAGCGTACGTGGTCCAACGCGGCGCCGCCGCAGCGACCACTGCGATGACGTCACACTCGCGACATCGCTCACCTCGTCGTCGTCGTCACGGTCGGCGCTACGCCGCTGCCGCAGTCGCCGCGTTGAGCCGGTCATACTCGCCTCCGAGCCGAGGGAGGCGTGCCGCAGCGACGACTGCGTCTGCGCCATATAACTCGCCGCCCGCTCATACGCGCGGCCGCCGTTGACGCTGCTCAGGCTCGCGTGCTCGCGTTGCAAGAGGTCGAGACTGGCTTGGCGGGAGTGTGCCTGCTTGCGGCGCAGTAAAGCCTCGCTCAGCACGGGTGCCGGTCCGGTCCGTGCCGCGACGTTGCCGCGCTGCATGGTACCATTGTCGCTGTCTGCGACGGCGCCGTTCACCGGCAGCATCTCGGACGTAAGCAATGTCAAGGCGGAGTCGGACGATTCGCGATTCGTGAACTCGCGCGTGGAGAGGCCGAGGCTAGTGCTCGTGGCGAAATCGGTTTCTGGCAGTTGGGTCCTCTCCAGTGCTCCGACTTTATCAGGCCCGCCGGCGTTGATGTTCGCCGCCGCAGCAGGAGCAGCAGCAGCGGCAGTGGTGGCGGCTTCGCGGTGGGGAGAAGGAAGAAGGCGGGTGTCAGGGTCCACGGCGTGCTCGGAGTTGCTGTGCTGGTGCGCCCTGCTTGCCGCAATGTCGTGCACCTCCATAAAGGAGTGGGCGCTGGCACACGACGAGTGATGGGGGGAGGAAAGGGAACAAATGAAGGAAGTGCAGTGAGCGGGGAAACAGTACCAAAAAAAGCCCTCGCGATCAGATCGGGCGCGATGCGGGCGTGCGGCTTCGGATGCCGGAAGAAGGTGAACGCTCCACGGCCGTGAGTGCTTTTTCTTCTTTCCTCTTCTGCGGTTCGTTACTCGAGGCTCACGGGAAAAGCGCACGGGGCGTGACGGAAGAAATGACGATGTTGTCTCTTGTTGTTGTTTTTAAAGGATGGAAGGCGGTGCCGAGGGAGGAAATTTCTAGGTAAGAAAAGTGGAGAATCTCTAAAAATATATATGTTGATGTGTGTGTGTGTGTGCACCGACAGGGACAAGAACTCGCAACGTGAAGTGAAAAGGTTTATTTTCTTCTTTCTTCTTTGTTGATGTTGTGGAATACTAAAAGATCGACAAGGCCAAATGCATCGACGTACTTGTGAAGGGAGTTGGCGAGTTCAGCGCTGCCCTCCGCTGTCGTGTGCCCGACAGCTCTTCGGTTTTTCCTCCTCGCTATTTAAGTTGTTGTCGTCGTCGTCGTTTCTGCTTTGCTCTCTGCTTCCCAGAAAAGGCAGCTCAAACACGAAACGAAACTTGCTCGATGAAAAGCGATGCAGAAGAAGGAAGAAAAAGGGGAAAAAAAAGGAAGCGTGGAGTGAAAAGGCGGTGTTGCTGAACGGAGAGGGGAGGGGAGTGGCGTGAAGAGGAGGAGGAGGATGGAGGAGGAGGATGGAAGACAAGAGAGAGAAGAGAGGGAGAAGAATATGTTGCCTCTTCTCTTTATTAATAATAATAATAGAACCGAAAGAGGAAAGAGGGGGTTTCATTGCTGCGCTCTTATCTCTTTCTCTTTCTCCTTTGACGTTTGTCGCGGCGACGACTGCTCGTAAGGTACGAGGGAAAGCGAGATTGCAGAAACCTGTACAGCGCCGCGTCGCCGAGGGTGCAGAGAGCGCACACACACACAGAGAGAGAGAGGGATAATCAAATTTGTTTATCATTGCAATACAGAGCCCTCTTTTATCCAAGTGTAGTCGTCCTTTCCGCCTCTTCTTTTTTCATTTGCGCGGGGTTTTATTGTCACTATTATCATTTTAGCGTGTTTGCTGGTTCGTCAACGTCCCTTTCCTTCGCTTTCAGCGCATGTATGTAGCCATTCTGCCGTGTAAAACTCGCGCGTACGTCCCTGCAGAAATTCATCACAGTCAAATACATCGGGCTCTTTTTCTTCTTTCATTGATTTTCTGAAAGGGCTGCTGCCGCGCACATCCTTTTTCCTCCTTTAGAAAATCCTCCGTTACAGCGGCGGCAGCAGTGGCAAAAGAGAAATAAATTTTAAAGAAAGGACAGCACACTCTGCGTCTCGAGCAATCGACAAGCACCAAACCTTTTGGGGGGCAAACCTTCTCCGTAAAGCATCGTGTTCAACACGCTCTTCTCTCTTTCCTCTTTTTATCGTTGATGGGCCACATCACCGATCAGCGGTCAACCGTCGCACACAGAAACGAGACGCAAGCAGAGGGAATGAGAGAGGACAACGAGACTGATTTTGATCGGCAGAGGTGGCAGGCTGCATCGCCGCGCAGTCCCGCGCCGTTGAGGAGAGAAATATGAAAACAAGCATTTTAGAAAAAAGGAAAAGAGAAAGTGCAGTACTGCTATTTTTTTCCGCAACAAGAAATTTCCAGCTCAGCCGCGCAACGCACGGTGATTTTATTTTCTTTTGGTGAGGAGGGAGGCCGCCGAACGAGGCACCTGCGCATTGTGCTCTCTCCCCAGTCGGTGAGAGACGGTCAGCTTGGCGGAGGTGCGTTTTTGCAGGCCGGCGCAGGCGGCAGCCACCGCAGGTGTTTTGCGTATGGATGTGTCATAAACGGATGCCGCAGCAACGCGGTCGCCGTGGGCCGCTTCTCGGGGTCCACCTGGCAGCACAGCAGCAGAAAGTCGCGGTAGAGGCCGAACTGCACCGCCTCGTCGCCCTTGCCGGCCTGCTGCAGCGCCACGAGCTCCGCCACGGTGGGCAGCCCCTGCGGCGGGGTGCCGGCTTTGCTCACGCGGAAGAGGAACACAAACGGGTTCACGTGCGGCTTCACCTCCCAGATCTGCCGGTCCAGCATCTCAATACCGACGCAGCCAAGTGACCAAATGTCAGCGGCCAAGGCGGACCGCACCGTGCCTTGGATCACCTCCGGGGCCATGTATGACGGGGACCCGACCGGGCAATCGGCCTCCGCAGCGCCGGCGGCGGCCACGGCGGCATGGTCAGCCGGAGCACCGGTGCTGCTGCCGAAGTCCGACAGCTTCACACGGCCGTTCTTGGTGACCAAGATGTTCTCCCCTTTGATGTCGCGGTGGGCGATGGAGAGGCGATGTAAGTACTGCAGGCCGTGCAGAATCTGGCGCATGTACTGCTGGATAGACAGCAGCGTCAGCGCACCGAAGCGCTCCACCAGTGAGTGAATCGTGCCGCACTCCACGTACTCGGTGAACACGCGCAGGTCGCGCGTCGTGGCGTTCAGCGAGCTGCCGAGGAATCGAATGATGTTCTTGTGTCGCGTCGCGCACAGCACGTCCAGCTCACGCTGCAGGCACGCCAGCTCCTCGGGGGGCACCTCCTCACCCACCGTCATCACCTTCACCGCCACCATTAACGGACCGCGCTGCGTTTGGAGGAGGCCGAGGTAGACGGAGCCGAAGGTGCCACGGCCGATGAGGTTGCCCAGTTGGATGTGCTCCAGGTCCTCCATGGTCACCTCATCCATCTTGTGACGCCGCACCAACGAGGAGCGCGAGGTCTGCACGCTAGACTGGCTCGGGGTGCGACAGAACAAACCCGCCGGCTGTGCGGCACTGCTGCAGGTGGCTGGCGCACGGTAGGCATCGAGCGCCACGGAGTTGAGGTAGCCGCCGGCGCCGGTGGAGGTGGTGGTGTTGTTCGCGGTATCGGCCGTGGAGGCGGCCGACGCAGCGAGGGGCTCCGCATGGCGGTGGCGGCCGCCTCCGTCTGTGCCACCCGTCCCTTGTGGGCTGCGCTCGTGTCTCGGCGTGGTACCAGCAGCAGCGCTCTTTCCGCGCGGTTCGGCGGAGGGGCCGCGACGAGCACCGGTGCCATGAGCAAGCCCGCTGCCGACGCTGCCGCCGCTGGTGTCTGGTGAGGCAAGGACGGTGCCGCCGCCCGCGCTGTTCGCCTCCAATCCAAGAAGGCTCAGCACGTCTGGGTGCCGCACGTAGAACGGGCTCCGCTCCACCGCCTGCAGGAAGAGCTCTACTTCGGCGCGACGCTCCTCGGTGAAGGCGTCCGTCGCGAAACGCAGGCTGGGCAGCCGCTTGTTGGGGCATGCCGGCAGCTCAGCCCCGGCGATCATCTTCACTCGCTCCAGGGCAGGAATGATCTGCGAGTATAGCCTACACTCCCGTGCGACAACTGCGAGACCGGACGGGCGGTCTCGCACGACAATGCGGAACGCAATTTTCTTCACCTCGGTACGTCCTCCGGTGGCGGCCGAGTCCGCCGCTATGCCCCGTCGCGGGCGGGCGTTGGCGCCGAGCACACCCACCCCACCATACGCGTCACTGCTGCTGCGCTGTCGGAGGTGACGCGTAACGGTGAAGGCGCCAGAGACGCCGCCCATCCCCACCTGTCGCTGGTACCCATCATTGCCGCTGCTGTGCAGGGGCGTGGTGGAGTCGGAGCGCGGAGTGTTGCTGCTGCTGCACACGCTGCTCGCCGTGCCCTTACGCCTCGGGGAGGACGCGGCCCCGGTCGCAGCAGCAACGGCGGTGGCGTCGATGCCGTCGGTTGGCGGCGGCGGCGCGAGCTCGACAGTGAGATGGATCGCATCTAGACTGCGCACCGCGCAAGGGGCCAACGGATCGACGTGTGTGCTCCGGTGGGCTTTTCGACGGCCGGTTACCCTGTTCCTCGCCTTCCTTCTCGTCGGACGTGCGGTGGCGCTGGGCGGTGCGGCGGCTCCCTCCACGGAGGCCGGCGAGGAGGAGAGAGACGAGGAGCGCACACGATCAGACTCGCTGCCGGAGGAGGAGGAGGAGGACGACGATGAGGGAGATGCGCCCGACGAGGCCGACCTACCGCAGCCGCGTGCATCCGCCGTGCCCTCCATACCGGTGCGGTCGGTGCGCGGCATGCGGCGCAGCGAGGATGTTTCACTGCAGCTCGCCGTCTGCCCACCTGGCCTCGCGGAGTGGCCGTTTGTCGGGGCCGGCGGCACCGCGGAGCAGGTCCCTGTTGAGGCCTGCGTGAGGAACGACGCCGTGCGCAGGTGGGCGTCGCCGGCCAGGCTGCTGGTAGACGGCGCGTGCGCCTTGCGTGCCGGCAGCCGCGTCGACGAGCGCCGCTCCAGCAGCGAGGACGACGAGGACCCCGCCCGGCTGCCCGCACGGGGAGCGAGCGGGTTGGCGCTGAAGTCTGCCGTCATGTTTGGCGACGGACTTGCGGTGCGCGCTGCGTCAAAGACCACTCCTGACAAGGACGCGGTGTGGCAAGGCCGTGGTGGGCTCGACTGCGCGGCGCCGACAGTCCACGGGCTGGTGTCCGCTAGCGGGGTACCCGGCGGCGACGCGTACGGGTCTTTCGTCGGCTCCAGCGGTGGCAGCGGGCCGCCGTGGACAACGCCGCTGAGGCTTTCCGACGGCGTGTCGTCCTCCTCGATGCAGCGCACAGTGGTAGGCGCAGCACCAGCGCCGTTGGTCTTGACGGTCTCCTCGGATGGGGAGCCAGACGGCGGCATCGGCGGCGGGGCGGAAACGCCGCCCGTCTCGCGGATCGCCAACGACGCCGTCGATGCACCAGCGGGGCTCGTCAGCGGGCGACGGCGTGGTAGGCGCCGCGGCAGACCATCGGCGATGGGAGCGGCGCTGCGGGGACCCGTGGGCCCCTGTGCCGCATCGGCGGCGTCGCCAAGAGCGGCCCGGGTGCGGGGGACCGGCGGCGGCGCTGCGTGACCTGCGGTGTTGATGGCGGCCGGCCGGTGCAGACCTGACGACGCGCTTACGGGCTGCCGCGTCTGCGCAGGAGGCACGGTGTCACCAGCGACGGGCGCCGCGGCGTTGTTGACACTGCGCTGACTCATCGTTGAGGGGGAGGGGTAAGTCCGCTCACTCCCCACCGCGTCCCCTGCGGTGCTGCAGCCGTCGGCGTCGCGGCTCTTCTTGCCGTGTCGCGCGAACTTCACGGCGGCCCTGAAAATGGCGGTGCCGCTGATGTACTCCTCGATGGGGCGGCGAGCAGCGCCGCTGCTGCCGCCGGAGTCGAGCGTGCCGCTCACGCTTTCGTTGGGCGGCAGCGCGGACGACGACGGCGAGTGCGACAGCACCACCGTCGTGGAGAAGGAGTCTCCCGGGGGTGCGGTGGAGGAGGTTTCCCCGCCACCGGCCGTCGGAGAGCTGCCGTCGACGTGCGAGAGATGCTGCGACTTCGGCTGCCCGTGCACGTGGCGGAACCGTTTGCTGGCCGACCTCCCAATGCAGCTCGGACACTTTAAACCAGATTTGCGGAGGACGAGGTGGTCTCGAACCCGCCCGCACACCACACAAAACGCGGCGGATCCGCCGCCGGCCGAGGCGCGTAACGGGACGCCGACGTGTGTCGCGGCGTCCATACTCCGTGTCGGATCAACTTCGCCAAGCTCGCACAGCAGCGAAAAGAAAAGGAGGAGAATAATGCTTTTGGAAAGAGTAAAAAAAAAGGAGCAAGCACCACCAAATCGAGACAGCGAGTTTGTTCGCCGGAGCACCTCCTCTGTGCAGCGTCCCGCCTTTCGGAGGAAACCCAAAAGAAAGAAAAAATGGAGGGCGAAAAGACGAGCGAGGAAGAGGAACGCCGACGGCGGCGTATCAGACGTACAGACTAAAACCTCACGTCTGCGGGGGGGTAAAGGAAAGAAGAAGGATGAAGTGAAAAAACACCATCGCCGGCGCTCGGCAAGAGAGCGACGCGGCGGCACAACAGTAAAGAAAGAAACAAGTGTCAGAGAGGTTGACGAACGATGTCGCACGGCAGTACAAAAGAATTTGAAATTCAAAACCAAAAAGGAACGCAGAGGTGCACAACCGTGCAGAACACTTTTTATCCTACAAGAAGTGAAGGAAAGAATCCACGGGTGAAAGGCGCAGCTATTTTTTGTTTGCTGGATTGCTTGCTTTTTTCCCCAGTTCTACAGCGGAGCGCAGCGAATAGTGATAAGGAAGCAAAACAGAAGAAGACGAGCAAAAATTTAAAAAAAAATAGTACGTTAGTCACCGCGCGCCCCTTTTCTCATGTGCACCAGGTGGCAAGCTGTCAACAAAGATGCGTTCTCGCTAGGCATGAAGCTTGTGGATACATCCACCAGCAGAAAGAGCGGTGCGATCAGCCCACTTCTCAGGTGTTTTCGACACCGCCAGAGGAGAGAGGGGGTGGGAGGGAGAAGAAAAAGAAAAGGACAGGCGGGAAATATATATATGAAAGATGAAGCGGAGTGCCATGCAACACCAGAGCACCTCCTCTTCTGTCTCACTATCTCACACAGGCACGCACGATTGGTGGGAGGAGCAAAAGGAGAGAAAAAGGAAAACAGCAAAAACGCTCCGTTGCTTTTCTTGGAAAGGCCGCGTAGAAGGTCTTCCTTTATCGCTTGAACTATCTATCCGTATCTATATATCTATATATGTATAGATATATCGCTGTTTCTTTAAGGTTATATGTTACAACGCGACCATAGGGTGACAGTGCGGTTGCTTAGCTACGCGAGAGGCGAGTCGGCAACGTTCCGAGACAGTTCATTCTGTATACATATGTGTATATGAGTGTGTGTGTGTTCGTTGATGGATGCGTGCAGAAGGGGAATACGCATGATAAGGAGGTAAAAACAAAAAGTATCGCAACACCAGAAGTTGACGTTGTACGCGAAGATGCATTCAGCCCCGGGCGAAAGGCGGAAGAGCGGCGCGGCGTGGTAAGGACAAGCACCGCAACGAGTGCGAGGTGGACGAAGCCAAGAAAAGACACAGAAACACCGGAGGAGAGAGAGTGGGGGGGGAGAAAGAAGAACGTGCGTTGCGTTGAGGGAAGAGAACAGGGGGAGGGGGAAGGAACGCGCCGAGATCGACACACACGCGGAAACAGGAGGAGAGGAGAATCGGGACCGATCTTCTCTTGCGCATTGCGTTGCTAAAACCCAGCCAGATATACATCCATCCACTTCTTCCTTCTCCCGTCCCATCTCGAAAAGCACTCCGGACTACCACCACGTGAGTCGCGCCTACGTCAACCCTCACCACCTGTTGTGGACACAGTTGCACAGTGCAACCTGTACGGCCAGGCGGGGAGGGAGAGAAGTCAAATGCGCTCGAGGTCGCGCACTTCACGTTCCTTTCTCTTTTCCTTTTCCTTTTCCTTTGTTTTCATGAGGTACACCGTGGCGCCTGCACGTCACATGAAGGCAAAATCACCTCCTCAAAAGAGCCCTTGCTTCACCACCGCTGTTACAGTAATTTATGCAGACGTGAGTATTGCAACTACCCTTCCTCCTACAAAACTATTCCTCACTCATCCGTCAAATTGCCTTTTGTCGTTTATTGAAACGTCCATCAACACAAAAGGGGGAAAAAAAACTCGCGGCTCTCCCTCTCTTAAGAGGACTCTGACTTTACTTCTTTCTTCTTTCTCTTTATTAATTAAACACCCTCAACCAGTCCCACGAAACCTTCTCTATTCTGAATAGGCAGAAAGAGAAGTAGATGTATTGATCGACTCCTTCTGCTTCGCCCAAGGTCTCCGTCGCAGCACGGAACGCCACAACACTGCTTAAGAACAAAAAAAAAACGAGGAACACACACTCACACTCACACACACACACGCACACGCACCGAGAAGAAGAAGAAAGGAGAACACAACTCTTTTTCCTTTCGCCGTGTCAATGAATGGCGTCCACGCAGGTGCGGCGTCGGCCGCGGGCAACACCGGCACCCCTCGCTGAGAGCGCGAGTTCAACACTGCAAGCGAGAGAGAGGAGAAACACCGCTACAGCTGCTTTACGGGCTGTTATTCGATTCTGCTTCCCCGAGGCCGCGCCGTGTTTCGCACACGCAGCTGCGCAACCCCCGTTTTCCTTTTGTCACTTTTATTATTCTTCTTCTTCTCGTGACTCTGCATGCCTTCATCAAACTAATGGCGTTCTACGGAGCAGCGCTCGAGACGAGCAGCTGACCGCCGACTGCGGTGATTGGCGGCGATGCGAAGTGCGAGTACATGCCGGAGAGAAGGACTAGAAAAAATAAGAAAGCGAGAGGATGACAGGGCTCTTCGCAAGACGTTAGTAGATGGCGATTGGGACGACAGTCATGAGAAGACTGAATACGAGTTTCCCTTTTGCAGCGCCGTTTCTTCTTCTTTTGAGGGATTGGCCGAATTTCTCCTTTTTTCTCTTTAGACGAACATCAGAGTCAGCTGGGGTGCTGCAGGTTCTCACTGTTTCTTCACACGCACACACACACACATACGTTTCGTGTCAGCCGGGTGTGCTTCTCCGCATATTTTCCGGGGGAGGCGAGGGACGCATCGGCCCCTCAAAATACTAAAATTAAAAAAGTGAGAACTTGCCTAGCATGTGGTTCGGGGGCAGGTCGCGAAACGTTAAACACGTACGGGGGACGAACGCACCTTTGATGAAAGACGCACCGCGGCAAACGTCTTCATTCTTTTTCATTTCGACTTCGTCACCGTCGTTTCTGCGAACACGTGCCGGCGCGCGGAGGTCCTGAGGCGTGCGCGGTCACAACTCCGTCCACAACTACAAACATATATATATATATTAGTAATAATAACAACAACAGTAATGTAATTTAGAAGGGAGAGAAGAAAACAAAAAAAAAAGGTGTTGGCTGCCGTGATCTGAAGCGATGGTGCGCACCAGTGCTGTGACGTCAACGGCAGTTGTTCGAATGCATTCGACATGAAGAGCGTCGAACCCCAAGAAGCATCACGGCTCACACAGACAGAAAATATATAGAATGCATGGAAGTGAGCGGAGGTTGAGCGTTGTCTCCTCTCCACAAAGGACCTCGCACACACACACGTAGTCGCTCCTGACCCTGTTACACAGTATTTTTTCCTGTTTTGTCTTGTCTCAGCCTTTTTCCCCCTTTCCCATGTCCGCAAGCGGCGGTAAAACATCAAAAAAGGAAGGGGGTGGGAATGGGAGCGGGAGCACACACCCTACGCGGGAGCCGCCACAGCGCTCCAGTACGTCCGCAGAACAGCCGCGACCGTCCCACAGGCACACCGCGGATGTGTGCCGACGTCGCGAAGCAGCCGCGAGGGTTTTGGATCGAGTGAGAGGAAGGGACAGCGGCAAGACTGTTGGCTTCGTTGCTGTGTGTTGTTTGCTCATCTGCTACCCTTCTCAACGCAGTCCGACAGCGCACCCGACAAGAGTTGACCGGAAAGGGGCGAGGGGGGGAGAAGAGGGAGGGACAGAAGGGAGCAGTCGCACCCTCCACTTTGCGTCGGCGGTGAGGCGCGGCGCGCGTGCAGACAGCATAACCAACAGCGAAAGAGAAAAGGGAAGAAGGCGAGGAATAAAACACGCAAAACCACGCGTTCCATTTCGGCCTTTCACTTTACTCTCCTCTGCCTTCCCGCTCCTTCCTCTCACCCTCCAGCCTCAACGTCGCCACGCAGATCCACACCGGCCCACGTACCTTCAAACACCACAATCTAAAAGGGAGGGGGTGCAACAATACGGCTCTTCTCCCACTCCCTCTCCCTTACTCTTTCCCGAGTAGAGGTGACGGGCCGCAGACAGCACCTCAACGGCGGTCACGGCGGTCGCCACGACGATCATCACGGCGGTCGCCACGGCGATCATCACGGCGGTCGCCACGGCGATCATCACGGCGGTCGCCACGGCGATCATCGCGGCGGTCATCTCGACGCCCACGACGCCCCTCGCGACGGCGCTCACGCGAGTCGACCGACTCGGACGAGTAGCTGCGCCGGCCGCGGCTGTGGGAGCGGGAAGAGCTGCGCGACGACGGCGTGTAGCTGCGACGCGTGCGACGGCGGTCACGACGGCCGCCATCGCGACTCCCGCTGCGTCGCCGCCGCGAGGAAGGGAGGACGTCCCGCCGGTCGTCGCGTCGCGGGCTGCGCTCGCCGCGTCGCGCCGCTGTCTCCCGCTCCCGCTTGCGCCGCAGCATGCTCACCATCGCGACGAGCCGCACGTCCTCTATGACGGTGTCGTTCAAGTCCGCCACGACCTTCTGCGTGTCCGCTGGCGTGTGCACATCCACGTACACGCAGTAGCCGCGACGCTCCATTTTAATAATAGGGCACAGCTTCTCGATTCGGGCGCGGAGGGTATCGTCGGTGATGGCGCCGCCCTTCGGACCGAGGTTGATGAACACCTGGCAGCCTCCGTTGGCGGCGACCTCGCTGCGGTTGCTGACGCGGGTCTCCTCCCGCTCCTTGCGCTTCTGCTGTGCCTCGCTCAGGGTCTGCTTGCTCATCTGCACAGACAGGCGAATCGTCTCCTTGAAGGTGGAGTTGTCTAGCTCCGCGATGAGGTGGCGCGCCTCCTCGACGGTCGTGGTGTCGGCGAAGGCGCAGCGGCCACGCAGGCGGATGTCGTGGATGTTGGCCGGGTTGAGGGCCTTGGACCGGAGGAGATCCAAAAGCTCGTCCGCCTTGACGGAGCGGCCTTCCGGGCCGAGGCCGATGAAGAGAGACGCCACCTCGCGTGCCGCCTCCTGAGAGGACGGGTAGGCGGCGGCGGCGACGGCGGTGCTGCCGTTCTCCACCGGCGGCGCCGGCTCCGGCAACTTCATGGAGTTCGAGCTGCTGCGGCTGGAGCTGCGGCTGCCAGCCGGGGACCGGCTTGCACTACGACTGGCGGACTGCGACATGAACGCAAAAGCCTCAAGATGACGGCGGCAGGTATGGTTGTAGAAATAGTAATAGTAACAGTAAAATGAAGAAGAAGGGACGAGCTAGAACGAGACAACAACGAAACAGAGGGTTAAAGATGAGGTAAAGGGAAAAAATAATTCTGTTGATTGCGGTGATGATGTTGTTGCGGGGCGGTGTGTGGGTGCCGTCGACCAAAGTATGTCGCAATGCGGTGATGAGGAAGAAGAGAGGGAGATGTAGACACGAATAGTTGATGCACGCAAGACAGAAATTTCATCCGTTGAAACCCGATTGAGAGGCACAGCGAGAGATCATTCAAAAAGAAAAAGAGTACGTGTCGATGCGCGAGAGTGGCATGGGACACACGAGAGCGCCGGTGCGTCTCCCACATAAGAGCGCAGTGCCCCTCCCCCCCCCCCTTTCCCTCGCAGCTCTGGAGACGCACTTGGGCCTGCACCTCCCCAAGAAAAAAAAAGCTCCATATGTGTCGCGGAGCGTTAACGTCACCAGCGGCCTTACAACATGACGTCACAGTACACAACGAACCGCTTCTTACAATGTGGCTTTCCTCTTTGTTTTCCATTTCGTTTTGGCGTTGGTGTTCTTGCTCTTCTCTTCTCCCTTGTGTGTGCGTGTGCTGCTCCCTTGCCGTCTTCATTGGCGAGGTGAGAAAGAGAGAAGGAGAAGTACATACATGTATATATATATATATATATATATA